CCCCCCCCCCCTTCACGCTCCCACACTCCGATTGCAGCCCGCCAGCTCTGTGGGGGGAACGTCACTCAGCGTCCCGGTGTTTATTAGGGGCAGAATGAAATTTGAAAATAGCAAATAGGGTTGTCGGATGGTTTCACCAAAAATACCTGGACACACTTGACATTACATCACAATCTACATTACGTCTTATTGAGAAAATACCACATATGTATATTTTCTCAATTTCTTTCCCCGAACAGAAAGCTCAAATACTGCACAGTCCATTTCAAAACGGGACACCTAGTAACCCTCAGCCCAAAACACCCACGGGCAAGGCTCCCTGACCCCGGTCTTAACATTTTGGGGAGAGAAGAGAGCAGTGGAGGTAGAATTGGTTCAAATTGCCCCTCCCCCATCGAATTTTTTTAATTGCATTTAGGACTCTTGCTGGAGGCTTTTCAGAATTTGGTGCAGGGTCACAACCAGCTGTGATCAAAATTGGTTCCCAGTAGCTGTTTCTGACCAACTTGCTCATCAGTTTCGGTATACATCAGTTTTAGCTACCACTCCATGTATCTTTACAGGGGAAGCTAATCTTGATAGATGGGGTTCAAAGTGTCACATTTGGCTGCCTTGTACCTGCCACAGGTCCAGGGGAGCTAATGTTGATAGATTGGGGTTCGCTGTGTCACATTTGGCTGCCTGTGCGCCCGCCACCGCCGGTGCAGGGGGGCCTTTCACATCCTCTTCTCTTCAGCACTGCCCTTCCCATGCCATGCAGTGTTCCAGCAGTGATTTACAGGGGCCAGAGCTCTTTTAAGTCACTAGGCTCTGGGGCAGCTACTGTTCCCCTCTCCCTCCCATTGTGAGCACTGGTTAGACACTAATTCAATTTCTAAATACAGCCCATTTAGGCCAGAGCCCTTGGAAGGTCCCCAAGTCCTCCCCCATTCCTCTCAAACACCCGCAGGAGCTGCCCTCTCTGCAGCCCAGCCTCCACACCAGCGCTGTGTAAGGGTGTGAAAGGAGAACTGCCTAGGAACCAGGGCTTTCCCTCACCTCCCACCCCCAACTCTCCCTTTTCATAGGGTCTCCTTTCCAGTACTTTCCCCTCCCCCCATGGAGGAGCCCGAGAGTACCATACCTGTATGACAAGGGCCCCGACAGTCGACTGCCCCATGCTCAACTGGTACCTGACAAATCGGAAACTGTTGGACGTGGCAAGTTTCCAAATTGCGATGGCTACCCACTTCTCCAGGGAGATGACAGGTCTCATCTGTGTGTCCCATCATGTGAGGGCAGGGGCAAGCCAGACAGACAGCTCCAGGACCATCTCCTTCCTCATACGGAAGTTCTGGAGCCACTGCTGGCCATCCCACCGCTCCATCACTGGCCGGTACCACCAGTAGGAATTGGTGTCCAGTCGCCAGAAGTGGCACTCCACAGTGGGGTGTACCTGAAAGGTGCCCCCAGACACATTGAAGGTCACCTAAAGCAGCCCGGGATTGTGTTCCTGCAGGGCCTGGAGGGCAGCCTGCAGCAACAGCAGCATGACAGTCAGGGGCTGTCACATGCCCAGAGACAGCTCTGACACCATAGCAAGGAGTGCTGTGGTGTCCAAACACAGGACAAGCAAAGCTCACAGTGGAAATGCTTTGCTGTCCCTCAGAGAGGTAGAGAAATGGCTGTACAAGGGGGACCCTTTAAGCATGCATCTCAGATAGCCTCAAACAGCAGCTCCAGGAAGTCACTGCTGACCTAATGCCCTGCCTGAACTGGTTGCGGGTGGCCTTAAGTGCAATTTAGCATCCAATCAGCATAGATGCTCTATTTTAAAATGCAAAGTGCTGTTTTCATACACTTTTTGGGTGTAGATGTGCTATTTCAAAATACGCTATTTTCAAAGGATATGTCTACACAGCAACATTCTTTCAAAATAATTTAGTCCGTGTCAGCCCAGTAGGCAGTTATTTCAAAATAGAGTCAAAATACTGTAAAGCTGGAGAACTTATTACTCTGACTCCTAACCCTCATTGTACGAGGAGTAAGGGAAGTCGGAGGAAGATTGTTCGGTTTCAAAATAAATGCTGTGTAGATGCTCCCAATTTCTAAATAAGCTACACAATTGACATAGCTCAATTTGCGTAGCTTATTCGAGTTAATCCCTAGACGGGTAATGCTTGTATGTATAAATACATATAAATATAAATGAAGTGTGCAGAGTATTCTCTCAGGGCACGTCTAGACTTGCTTTCACTTTCGAAAGAAGCTATGCAAATATGATGCAAATTTGCTTGCAGCATTTTGTACCGTAGCAGTGCAGAAAGGGAGGGCTGCAGAGACTGGCAGGGAGAGGCAAGACATTAGGACAGCTGTTCCTTTAAGAGCAGACAGGAAGCTGCCCTGTGCTCAGGCACGCATCTCTCTGAGAAGGGAAATGAAAAGCCCTCTCTGCCCCCACCCCTAGATCTGCACCTTTGGTAGGGGGCTCACCCCTTGGGTAGTGGTTACCTAAGGTGACCATACAACCCCGAAAATCTAGGACAGTCCCGCATTCCAGTCTCCCATCCTAGTACCCCAAAAAACACTAAAAATGTCCCAGTAACAGCAGACCAGCTAGAAGTGTTGCACACTGCTCTTTCTCCACCCCCTCCTCTGCCCAGGGAAACACAGGCATGCAGGCACCACCTACAGATTGTTCCCATTACACTTGAACCCAGCCAATAGCAGCAGTAGGAAGTGGTGCCTAATTCCTAGCCCTCTGCCACTGACAGGCAGGTAGTTCTCTTGGGAACCACATGTAAAGCAGCAGCAGGTAAGTGGTCCCCTTCTCACAGCCCCCTCCACAAACCCCACTGCCCTTTAAACTTTGTAAGATCCACACAACTCTTCTTAGATTTAAAAGGCAGACATGGGCGGGCCAGCTGAGCTGGGAATCAGCTGATCCTGGTTTGTGCACAGCCCTGGCTCTGCCTTTTAAATTGACTAAGAGCCATGCAGCTTCTTAGACTTGAAAGGCAGAGCCAGGGCTGTGCACAAACGGGGGTAAACAGATTTCAAGCTCATCTGATGCTGTCCGCGTGGCTCTGCCTTTCAAGTAAGACTCCAACCCTGAGCCCATCATACACCTGAATCCCCTGCCCTGAGCTCCTCACATCCCCACACTGCACACTTGTGCCCTGAGCCCCTCCTACATCCCAACCCAAACTCCTGCACCCCCACACCTACAAGCCTGTGACTTGCTCAGCACCCCAACCCTCCACCTAACCCCCCCACTCCCCAACCCTTTTCTCCTGCACCCAAATTCCCTTCCAGAGCTTGCACCTCTCACCCCTTCACATATACCCAAATCCCTCATTCCCACCCCAGAGCCCACACCTCCTGTCTCAACCCATGGAGAGTAAGGGCTGGGAACAGCAAATGATGGAGAGGAGGAGAACAGAGAAAATGGGGCCTCAAGGAAAGGGTGGGCTCTTGGGGAAGGGATGCGATAGAGCTTGGCTTGCCCTGACATTTAAAAACTGATCTTGAGTGTAAAAAGGTTGGAGATCACTACTCTAGATAGTTGCTTGCCCGCATCCACAGCCTGCTCACTCACCACACTGCTGAGACCCTATACCTCCCCACACATACGCCCTCCATAAAGATCCCACACTCCCAGCTCATTCCTGCACCCTCCCATGCTTTTGCACCTTCTCCCTGACCAGACTGCACCCTCACCGTCTTCTCAGATTCTGCACCCTATCCCTATCCACCCCCAAGACTAGGAAGGCACACAAAATCCACTGACTCTGAAACCCCTGAAAAGTTAATCTAGCCTGAGACCTTGAACCTCAGTCTTCCCTCCCCCTTCCCTCACCACAGCACTGGAACAACAGGGCAGTGAGGTGTTTCAGTTGGGGATCACATAAGAGAAGGTGGGGGGGGGGACTATTGTGTGCAATTCTGGTTTCCTGGATTAGAGATTAGGGAAAACTGGTACAGGTGCAAGAAAGGGCCGCTAGGATGATCAGAGGAATGGAAAACCTACCTTATGCAAGAGAGGCTAAGAGAGCCTGGCTTGTTGAGCCTAACCAAACAGCTGAGGGGAGATGCGGTTGCATTCCTTAAATACAGGCAGTCCCTGGGTTACGTACAAGATAGGGACTGTAGGTTTGTTCTTAAGTTGAATCTGTATGTAAGTCGGAACTGGGGTCCAGATTCAACTGATCAGTTTCAGCAGCGGCTGAATCTGGACGCCAGTTCTGACTTACATTCAGATTCAACTTAAGAACCCCAGGCATCCCCAAGTCAGCTGCTGCTGAAACTGATCAGCAGCTGATTCCAGGAAGAAGAAGAAAGCACAGGGCTGCACTCATGGAATAGGTCCTAGGCTAGTGGGGTTTTGTTATCTGGTGCCTGTCTTGTTCTGGACAGTTGAGCTG